AATAACAACCTGCATATATTTTTTTGCAATGATGCGCGAGGGGCGCGTGTGCTACCATATTCTAAAATTACCGCCTGCAGAGATTTGCAGCGGTTGTTTTTTTGACTTGCCGCTGAAAGACAAGATTGCGACGAATGGGGGGCGTGGAATTTCATTGCTCGGAATGTCTGCGCACAGGAAAAACTCGCGCGCAATGACTTCATGTGATCTTCAGCCGCCGTCTTCGCCGTCGGCTAGCGCGAGCGCCAACGAGCAGTTGGCTTAATTGGGTGGCTCGTGGCCCGAGCCAGATGCAAATGAACGCGCGCTCAGCGAAGTGGGCAGCGAACGGCCAAAATCTCGGGGGGGGCAAATGTACAGCGAGAGAAATCGAGATGCGAGTCTCGGAGGAAGGGGGGCGCCAGAACTCGGAGATCTGCATGCTGCGGGGGTGTAGCTTTGGATTGTCCTCGTCCCCCTAGGTCTCGTCGGTTACATTTCGCATTCCTTCCTCGTCGTTTTCGCTCTCGTACTCTTCCCGCAAGCGCCGCGAGGCCATCTGTCGCGGGGCCCGCGAGCGCCTCGGACACGGCGGCGAGGGCGCCGTCGCTCTGCGAGGGGCGCCCGTGCAAAGATGCTAATATGGGTCATTTGAAATTATCCCCCCCCCTCCCCCTCGCCCCCCCGCCCCCCTCGGCCTCGAGCCCCCCCCCCCCGGGCCCCCCCCCCCATGGGGGGCGCGAGCTCTTCGGGCGGGCGGCGTTTTTGACCGGGGCCGGCGGCCGCCCGCGCGGCTCGGAGGTCGGCCTGGGCGTCTGCGCCCAACGGGGCGCCCGGCCGTGGAGGTCGCCCGGCGAGGGGGAGGGCGGGGGGGGGGGGGGGAAGGGGGGGGGGGGGGGGGGGGGGGGGGAATTATCCTTCCCGCGCGCCTTCTCGCAGCGCCGCCTTTTGCGGCGCCGGTGCTTCGTCCAGATCTGCGCGTCGCCGCCTTCTTCCAGTCGAACTCTTTCTCCTCGCGGAGAAGGTTATGGTCGTTGCGCGTCGCCGCCGAGCCTGGGCGGTGCCATCCTGGACCTCGCGGCGGTTCATGTGCCTGGTCAGCAGGGGAGGCGCGCCCGCCATCCCGAGGCCCGAGATGGTCCTGGTCTGGCGCGGTGGTGACGCATTGGCGTTTTCTGCTCGTTCCTGCTCGCTCTGCTGTTCCTGCTCGTGCTCGCGCTGCCCCTGCCGGTGCTCGCGCTGCCCCTGCCGTCGCTCGTCGCCGCCCCTCTGCTCTTGCAGTCTCCGCAAATGCTCCGCAGCGAAGTCCAGCTCTGCCTTCAGCAGGGAAAAATATACACATCACCGCCACGCCTGGTCACGCATCTCCCGGGCCTCAGGACGACTCGCGAGCTTTCTTCGCAGGCCAGGAAAATACATGCACCGCCCCGAAGTCCAAGAGATGTCTTGCCAATCGCGGTGGTGATGCATGAGTCCCTTAACCGGACCTGCGCCAAAGCCTCTTGGAGGCTCGCCCCCATCTTCAGGATCTAGATGAAGGATGAGGAGGAGAGGAATCTGAGGAGAAGATACGGAGGAGAGGACCTGGAAAGTCGCGCCAGCCAGCCAGCTTGTCTTCCACGGCGCCGGCACCGTGTCGGGAGGCCGAAGGCTGACCATGGCGATGGCGCTTGCGCCAGAACTATTACGCATGGAGGGCCGTCTTCGCCGCCGCCGCCGTCGCCGTCGTCGCCGACGTCGTCGCCGCCGTCGTCGTCGCCGCCGCCGTCGTCGTCGCCGTCGCCGTCGTCGTCGTCGCCGCCGTCGCCCCCGTCCTCTTCGAGCGTCACGTCCTGGGAAACCAAGCTCTGGCAAACCAAGCAGTGGCAGGGAGGGTGCGGCGTGGATCTTGTTGAACACAATACATGCGAGAAACCTTCATTCGATGTTCGCGCGAGAGACCTTCATCCGATGCTTCTGCGCAGTACCATCTCGGCTGGAAAGCCCTTCGAGGGCGAAATCTACCTGCGCGCGGTCGTCGTCGCGCCGCCGACGGAGGGGGGTCGCCGTCGTCGCCGCCTCACTCGTCCTTCCCTCCTCCTCCCTCCTCCCTCCTCCCCCCTCCTCCCCCCTCTTCCTTCCAATTTCCTCGCCCATTATCCCTCATCGTCCCTCCCTCCTCCTCCGTCGTCGCCGCCTCTTCCTTCCTCCCTCCTCCTCCTTCGTTCCTCACTCCTCCTCCCTCGTCCCTTCATTCCCCCCTGGCACGGTGGGGTCGGGGGGCACGCATATCCAGACGGGACCGAACTGCCCCCTGGGTGGCTGCGAACTGCGCAGCGCTGGACAGCGTCAGCGAGAGCCCTGGTCCAGATGGTCGCCCGCGGTTAGAGTTGGCGCGGACGCAGGACATGGAGAGAGAACGTGCCACGTTCATTGAGTTTGCGGGGTAGAACGGGATTTTTGTCGACTACCCCATAAATATGTTTCAAGGATGTCACACCACTGCAATAATGATCCCACTATTATCTTGCAAGGAGAAGATATATTTACTTTATTGCAAGGCCCTGTCAAAGATACTGTAAACAGGTTGTACGGGTCTCTCGGGCATGTTCTGAGAGTCTCTGCAAGATGGTCTGGGGATCACTGACAAATCGCTTCTATGATGAACTCGCGGTCTCTAGAGGACATCTCCCACAAAGCCTCTAATGATATATTCGCGATCCCTGGAGGACCTCCCGCGCATGTGCAATGAAACTGTCCACGAACCCTGCAGGATCTCTCACGTGTGTTCGAGAAACCTCACCATGTTTGAAGATACCCAGATGATATAAGGATTTCAGCATTAGCGAAGGATCTCGTCAAGATGTCTCAGAAGGCTTCTACTGATCTCCCAACGGTTTCCCATGTTGGTTGGGGCTGGCGCCAGAAGAGGTCGAGATTTCGGAAGAGTGTTTGGAACATGTACACGTGGGTTGTAATTTCGTCACGTTTTACTATAGAGCGGCGGGGGGCGCGGGAACGGGGCTTCGACACTCCACCCTGTCTTTTGAGAGGAGAGAAAGGGAGACATGGGTTTCAAACCCCCTCGACCTCCCCTGAGTCCCTCCCAACCTATGTCGTGCTGAGAAGGCGCTCTTCAAAAGAGTGGACCTGCACGATATTCCTAGACGGCAAGGCCGGCAGCCAAGGCCACCAAAATTGCTCAAGATACCCCCAAATCGGCCCCAAGGTGCTCCCAAGACGGCCCCAAGTGGTCTCGAGACGGCCCAAAGTGGCCCACAACACAGCCCAAGAAGGCCACAAGACGACGCCCAGCATGAACCGAGGAAATCCAAAGCATAGATGTGCACTGCTTTTTGCCAGATGTTCGCGTCTTCGCCCTTTTTTCTAGCTTTCTCCAGCTCCAGAATGCCGGCGAGGCCCCCGAGGTGGGCCTGGAAACGGCCTAAGAGGGCCCCCACCGTGCCCACTAATCCTCCAAGACTCCCTCAAAATAGCCCAAGAGGGCCCCTAGCAGGCCCCACGACGGCCGCTAGAGTAACGGCACGCTGGCCCCAGAAGGCTTCCAGAGGGACCCAAAAAGTTCCTTGCAGGCACAAAACTGTATTTCGACGGATCAAGATACCTCCCAACCGGAGAACGGGCCCCACGACGGCCCAAGAACGCCCCAAGACGGTCCAAGAGGGTCGCAAGGAACCCGCTGCCCGCAACAATCCAAGACAGCCTGAAGACGGCCCCGATTAAGCTGTGCCTCCAGACCATCATCATCATCATCATCATCATCATCATCATCATCATCATCATCATCATCATCATCATCATAATCATCATCATCACCATCATCATCATCATCATCATCATCGCCACCATCATCATCATCAATGTCAGTATCACCATCCTCACCATCATCATCACCATCATCATCACCATGATTAGCATCATCGTAGTCATCATAACCAGCATCATCATAATCATGACCATCTGTCAGTATCGTCATACTCGTCGCCAATATCATCCTCACCACCATCATCATCAGCAGCATCATCATCAGCATCATCAGCAGCATCAGCATCATCATCAGCATCATCAGGTTCAACATGACACTCGCCCACTACGATGCTCCACCTGCTCGGCCAGCTCATCTTCCTCCTTATGTTACTCCTCCTCCTCCTCCGATCAGCGTCTCTTCATCCTTCTACTCCGCCCCAGGATGATATCAGATGACGCAGTATAAACTTAAGGCGGCGTTCTGACCTCACCACGCCCGTTAACAGACCCAGTACCTTTAACGCCGTTTGGACCACATGTTTCAGCCTCCTGTCGCCCCTCGAACAGTTGCTTCCGCGAGTACTAGGATGGCATGGTGGCGGGACCTGTCTCAGAGAGCTAGATTTTGACTGGAACCTGTAGCTCACATGATGCAGACAACGGTGACTCCGATGGGGGCTGCGAATACGATATGCGAAGACGCAACGAAACGTAAAACGCAGAAGCCACGATATAGGCTCCGCTGCCCCTGGTGTAACTCTCCTTCCCCGTCAGGGCTCCGCTGCCCCCGGTGTAAATATCCTTGCCCGTCTGGTGCGCGCGAGCATCGGGTCGAGGCGTGAAAGCGACTCGGTGCGCGAGCCTCAGCACGACGGGCAGTGGAGGAGGACGTGGAGGATGACAGAGCAGAGAAAGGAGGATGGGCAGGCGGTCACCTGGACCTCTCAGAGGACATCTCAGAGGGCCTCCCAGCAGTGCTCTCGCAACCACCCTGGGCCTCCACGAGGGAGCCCGGCACGCCTCCCAGGACAAGGCGTCAGACGTGCGACGCCTTCCCGGAGGGGGCGGGGGGGTCCTCGGAAGTGGGGCCTGCTTCCTCCCAGTGCTGCCCAGGTCTTCGCTCTCCCTCCCTGCTCTCCCTCTCTCGCGCCCATCCCTCGCCCCTTTCCCCCGACATGTCTCCCTTCCTCCCGCCCGCCCTCCCTCGTCTCCCCCCCCCCTCTCTCCCTCCCTCTCTCAATCCCCTCCCCCCCTCTCCCCTTCTCCAGCATAGCCTTCCACACATGAGGGTAAGGTCCGCTCGGGAAGACGACGTCGGTGCCGTCGATGTCCTTGACCTTCGCCATGCAGGACGTTCCCCCGAAGATTTTGCCGATGCGCCACACGCCTTTGGACCAGTAGAAGAACAGGCGGCCGTGCTCGAGCACCTTGCTGTAGCACGGCCTGCCCCTGCTGAGGCCGCGATAGCGGCGGTACGGGCCGTCGATCTTGGGGCTACCGCTGGCCTCGGCCGCGGGACCAGGGTGGCAAGAAGCGGAAGGAAAGAGGCAGGACGAGGCGCAATGCGTCGGAGAAGAAAAACATTAAATAAAACAGAGAAGCTGCAGGAGGTCTTGGATCGGCTCTGGAGACCCGTCCCTGGCGTGCTCCGCCCCTCCGGGGGTCCAGCGCAGATCCTAGAACTCCTCGCAGACCTCCGACTGCTTCTCTGTACTCCATCTCTTCACCGAACGAGGGAAGCTTTCCCAGGGCAGTCCCCTGCGACCGGCTGTTCATCCTGAACTGTGTTTCGACGGTACTGGGGCCCGGGAGGGGCCCCGGGGACCCGAACACGGCGAAAAGCTTCATGCCGCTGCGCGACAGTGTGGCTCTGGACAGGGGGGCCGAGCGCCAATCCAAAAATCAGCCCTCCTCCTCCTCCTCCTCCTCCTCCTCCTCCTCCTACTTCAAACTAGAACCACACGCGCTTCGGCGCTTCGCGCCCGATCAGATTGTAGCGCAAGCCAGTGCGCTGCTGCCCAGGACACCTTGTACTAGTTTCACCTGCTCGATGCCCTGTGCAGATCGGTGTGCATGTCGTTTTGTAGTTTGGTATGAACTTCCATGTGCATGCCGAACTGAATTTCAATATGGATTCCGAGTGATGTTTTGCATGTCCCATTTGATTTGCGTATCGACTTGCATTTCGATGAGCATTTCGGCTTGCACGTCGAATTGCCTTCATGTGCCAAGCACTATGAGACTTCAGGGGCGCCCGCGGGCTGGGACAAGGCAACTCTGGGAGAGCCCGAGGCTACGCGCAGGCCAGCAGGAATTGTACTTTGCCAGCTATGTGCCCAAAGATGGGCGGACTGTCGCGCCTCTTCGCCTCGCCCGCACGAGCGACATTAATACGACATCGGAATTGGGTTCCCTGTTGTTGCTACTACGCTCACACACGCCAGCCCGATATGTTAATGTGAATATACATACACATGGGTATGTGTATACATCTATATATATATATGTCTTCACATGTCTGTCTGTGTGCGCGTATGGATGTATGCATATGTCTGTGAATACGTACATGTATTTGCATTTGTAGGTGTAAGTGTACGCGTATGCAGGTGTCATGATCGTGCAGCACATGTGTACATGAACGCAGATATTGCAAGTGTATGTACGTGCACAAGTACATTACATGTATAAGTATACGTATACATGAACATAAGGGTACTTACATGTATGTGTGTGTGTGTGCGTGGACTTCGCACTCGGTAAATGGTGAAACGCTCGCACGCGCTTCGCGCGAGCTTCGATTCTTGTTCTGACACTCTGGCTGAGTACCATGCGTTCATGTTCGCGGCTCGAAGCGAGGCGCGCTGCGCAACGTCAGACGGCACTTGTCGCGTGTGAGGGCTGTGGCTGAGTATCGTTTAGAGCTTGGGTGGGGTCACATTTGGTGTTTCCGATGGTTTGCGTAGCTGCCTGTGCTAAGCTGAAATGGGCGTTGGTGTATGTAGGCTTTCACCTCCCTCATCCACCAAACCAAGAGTATATGAATAAAGGAGCATGAGGACGAGCATGACGATCCGGAGGAGGAGGAGCAGGTGAGGAGGACGGGGGGACACTGAAGGTGTCATCCTCCTTCTCCTAATCTTCCTGCTCCTGGTCCTCGTCATCCTCCTTCACATCATCACCATCGTCGTCCTCCTACTCCCTCTCTTCCTGGTACTCCTGTTTATCCGTCCTTCCTCTGCTACCCCTCCTCATTCTCCTCTTCACTCTTCACCCCCTTCCACTTCCCCTTCTTCCTCCTCCATCCCTTTCCCTTGTAAGTGACGCCCTCCTGTCGCACCCCCAGACGTGTGTCGGTAGGGTGGGCTGGGCGTTGTGCCTGAGACTTCCCGACCATTTCTGATCCCGAATCTGAGATTTGCAGCAATTTCGCGGATGGAGGGCGAATGGTTTTCAAAATGTTGCTCTTGGTTTCGCGCCGCGCGCATTCGTCTGAAACATTTGCAACAGTTTCAAAGATGGAGGGTGGATGGTTTTCAACAATGTCGCTCTTGATTCATCGCCGCGCTCATTCGTCTTGAAAGTTTGCAACAGCTCCAGGGATGTAGGGACCTCCTCCTCATTCGCTCTGAAGGTTCGCAGCAGCTTAAAGAGAATGGCGGAGGCTCATTTTCAAAATGTGGCCCTCGCTTGAGCGTCGCGCGCATTCGTTTTAACAATTCGCAGGAGTTTCAAAGGCTCGCATGGTTGAAGCCCCAGGGATTGTGTTCCAGCGCGATTGAGGACTGCCAGAACGCAAGCAAATCCTTGGTATTGTGATCCTAGAAACAGTTTTCTGGCACGATTTCGGCTTGTCATGACGCAACAGTCACGTTGACTCGCGGCGTGGCAATCCCAGGGACGGTGTCTAGGCAGGGTTGAGGACTCGCAGACTGTTCTCTTCCAACGGGGCACTTCCCCCCCAAAAAAATGAACCGCTCTATGGACCTTTGAAGAGGGAACTTGGAGGGAGGATTCATAGCAGCATCGTTGCTGCGCCGTGGGTTGACACTGGTATTCCTCCTCGTCCTCCTCCTCCTCCTCCCCATCATCATCATCATCATCATCATCATCATCATCATCATCATCATCATCATCACCATCATCATCATCATCAGCATCATCATCATCATGATCATGATCATGATCATGATCATCATCATCATCATCATCATCATCATCAGCATCATCATCATCATTATGTTGCTACTGCTTATCATGTTTCTCCTCCTTCGCCCTTGTTCTCCGCATACTCCTCCTCGTCCGCCTCTCCTCGCCCTTGCCTTCTCCCTAGTCATCACGGTAAGCTGCTCATCCCTCGATCCTCCTCCTCCCCGTCCAGTCCTCCGCCTCCCCGTCCTTCTCCCCAACAACCACTCGTCCCTCCTCCTTCCCCCCGCGTCGCCCTCAAACGTCGATCATCGACCGTCGATCGTCGTCGTCGGCCTGGAAGCGAGGAGGATGAGGCCCCTCGCAGTGCAGTGCTCCTACATACGTTCGTTCGCCAAACCTATCTCACTCCCCATCCCTCCCTTCTTCTCCTCCTCCTCCTCCTACTCCTCCTCCTCATCGTCATCATCATCATCATGATCGTCCTCATTCAAATCCGCATCCTCATCCTCATCAACATCCTCGTCGTCACCATCATCACCGTCATATCATCATCACTATCATCAACAACATGGTCATCATCACCATCATCATCAACATAATCATCACCCTCATTAGTAGCATTACCATTTGCGTCATCTGCATCATCATCATCATCATCATCATCATCATCATCATCATCATGATCATGATCATCATCATCATCATCATCATCATCATCATCATCATTATCATCATCAATAGCACCATCATCATCAGCATCAACATCATCATCATCAGCAGCACCACCACACCCATCATCCATCATCGACACCCTCGTCATTATCCTCATCATCATCATCATCATCATCATCATCATCATCATCATCATCATCATCATCATCATCATCATCATCATTATCCACATCATCATACTTCCTCTGCTGCTCCCTTTTCTCCTCCTCCAGTCCTCCTCAAACTTCTTTTAGGACATCCTCTGTTCTCCCTTTCCGACTCCCCGTGATAACGATTATCACGACTGCGGAGGATCGACAACGACCATGGGACTGGTCATCGGGGAGGGGGTGGAAGATAACTAATGTAACTCTTCCAGAGGCTGGTGACAAATACGGAAGAAGAGGACAATGAGGAGGAGGGAGTGATGGAGCGAGGACAGGGGATCGAGAATTGATGAGCTTTGCAGATGTCTTTGGGCAGTGGGGGGTGCTTGCATGGAATATTGGGAACATGCACGCCCTTCGTTGGAGCTTTCTCGGGAGGCTATTGAGCCGTCTTGGGCACCTCTTGGGCCGTCCTGGGGCTCTCTTGAGCCCTCATTGGGCCCTCGTGGAGGCTTCCCTGGCCGTCTTAGGGCGATGTTACGGGACTCCTGGGTCGATGACGACCATTGACAACGTGAAAGACATCTGCGATGTTTGCCTACTGGCGGCCCCGCCGGGGTCCTCTTTGCAACCTCGTGGACGACTTGGCGTCTTGAAGCAATCTTGGGTCGTCTCAGGGCCCTCATGGACCGTCTTGGAGCCCTCTTGGGCCGTCCCGTCGTGGAGCGCCTGAGAGGGGTACCACAGCGTGCTTTCCAAGTGCCCCCCCCCTGGTCCAGACCAGCTTCCCCACGCATAGGCACGTGCATCCGCCACCGTGCCCACATGGCACGCTGGGGCGTGCCAGAATGCTAAGTGATGTCTGGCTGGGCTTCTAAAACTTGCTGCGCCCCCACGCAGTCTTCACACCAGCCTGCACGCATCGCACACTCTACCGAGGCCACAATTCTCGCAAGATGCTACAGATTCGTGCTCCCGAGGCCCCGAGGCCTCCAAGAGGGCCCAATGTTTTGCCAAACGACGGCTCAACATGCACTCGAGACGGCCCCAGAGGCCTTCGAGACGCTCCAAGAGAGCCCCAAGAGCCTTCCCGAGAGGGCCTTTCGGCGCAAACATCGATGATTGCTATTGGGCCTTCTTCGGGTTGGCTTAAGCGTGTGGTTTCGCCTTTTCGAATTTCCGAAGTCCCAAGGCGGTCGAAGAGGCCCGAAAGAGAACCCCAAGACGGCCGAAGAGGCCCCCCAAGGGGTCCCCAAGGCTGCTCAAAAGGGCTCCACGCCGGTCCAAGCGGCGCCCAAGAATGTCCGAAAGGGCCCCAAAACAGCCCCAAGAAGGGCCCAGAGCCTTCTGCCTCAACAGGCCCCCAGGTCCCCAGAGGGCCAAAAGAGGCCCCCAAGAGGGCCCCAAGAGGCAAAAATCATGGATTCCCCTGTGGGTAACCAATGTGTTCGGGCTCTCGCCGTTTCGAGTTTCCGACACTCCAAGACAGCCCAAGAGGCCCCCAAGACTGCCCTAAGACGCTTCAGAGGCCCCCAAAA